CCGTGCATGGGCAGAAAATTCCCCGATTGTCTGAAATCTAATATTTCCTTTTGCATTCTAGAGCCAAGTCTAACCTAGCAGTACTAATCCACAGGGAAAATAACACTGTGTTTTACGAAATAAATTATAATTATTATACATATGGAGGAAAACATTTCAAAATAATTCCATATATTACTTTAAGAAAAATAAGTAATTTTAATAGACTTGAAATGTGAATCATACTTTATTGGGAATATTTTTAAAGCATTTTAGATGATGAATATTTAAAGGCATTTACACTGGTACAAAAGATTATAACCATTCCTTTCAAAGTCTTCTTTTTCTTGAGTTCCACTTCATAATTTAAGCCTAAGTAAAACAAAGATCAAAATATACTGGGAGTTGAGTCCATTCTCTATCTCCCACTGCAAGACTGAGTTGTAGTGGTGCCCATTCCTAGCACCATGGCCTCCTTGAATAAAGTCTGCCTTACCAGCTTAAGAAAATACTCACGTACACACATTTTTTAATGGAAGAAACAGGGAAACATTTGGTAGTTTTAAGTATGCATATATACACACACACATACACACATATATATACACACACATGCTTATATTAGGGATATATACCTACATATGAAAACAACAAAAAGAAGACATATAGTATATGTATACATATGTATGTATATATATACTTGTGTGTATATGTCTACTTGAATGTGTGTATACATATATATATGCATAGATATATACTTAAAACTACCAAAGTTTTCCTGTTTTTTTCCCATTAGATATTGAGAAAAGTAAAACTTGTATCTTATATATCTTATTAGAGGAAATAATAATTTATAATCAATCTAATGTGCTTTTTGTTTTTTTGTTTTTAGTTTTTTGGTTTTTTTTTTTTTTTTTTGAGATGGAGTCTTGCTGTGTCGCCCAGGCTGGAGTGCAGTGGTATGATCTTGCTCATTGCAAGCTCCGCGTCCTGGGTTCACACCATTCTACTATCTCAGCCTCCAAGTAGCTGGGACTACAGGCACGCACCACCACGCCTAGCTAATTTTTTGTTGTTGTTGTTGTTTTTAATAGAGACGGGCTTTCACCTTGTTAGCCAGGATGGTCTCGATCTCCTGACCTTGT